TTTTTTTTTTTTTAAAGAAAGATTTAGATCAGCTGGTACTTTTGAGACACTTTTTGAATCTCAGAACATAAAATCACACCAGATCATTTCAGCCTCAATATAACTCCTGGCAGGGCTTCAGCTATTATGAGTATAACCCTTGTTTTATGTGGCTTTCACTTACGCCTACTTTCATAAATGGCTCTAGATTTCTCGTAGAGCTCATATGGGTCAGGCTTCCTTGGGTCAAAGGCCTCTGTTGAGTCAGGAAAGGAACTCCTGTGAAGGGCAGGTGGGAAGGGCAGGTTCTGCGGTATGGCCGGAGCAGATAAACTTGTCTGAGGACTGCCTTGATTCTCCCACCGGTCCATGATCTGGAAAGTGAAAGAGAATAGAGAGAATGACTGACAAATTCTTTCTTGCTGTTTCCTTTGTCACATACCACAATCCTCAACTTTAAGTTAGACTTTCTTGCCCTGTAGACTTTTCTTTGAAACATTTTAAAACTTTGGTGTGTCTTGAGAGAAACGATTCTATGTCTATATAAAAAGGTACCATAAACTGTTATAAATATAAGTGGTGCCTAAATTTTGAATGCAAACTTATATAACCTTGTCACCTGTAGGCTGGTAATTTTTAGCAAATCACTTAACCTCTCTGAGTATTTTTCCCCCCCCTATAAAATAAAGGTAACATGTATCTCAAGATAATTTATGTGCAAGTGCTTAGAAGTGTATGGAATTATTCCTTTTCTAATATGGTCCTAATATATGACACAATTTTTACTAAAACGAGAAAAAGTAGCCTGCACATGTTCGTTTGACACCTATACATATCCTGACAATCTCTTATACTTGAACACTCAATCACTTTCCTTACAGTTTATAAGTAATAACACAACCATCTGGGATTTATGAATTGTTCAAAGTCTTCTATGAAGCCTCATTTACTGCTGATCTGGTGATTTCTTCCCCCAAATACTGCTGCTGTTGCTACCACATAATTTATTAAAGGCTTATGGACGTTTGCCAGTTTACCATGTCCTTCAACATACATTATCTTCTTTGATCCTCACCATAGCCTTGTGAGGTAGATAAAGCAGAGACTAACATCCTTTGATGTAGGAAAAAGCCAGGTTCACTGAGATCACCTCTTGGCACCGCCATCTTCACCTTTATTCAATGATCAACTGATTCCTCATTCAAACTTGCCTTTTACTTTCTTGCTTTGAATAAACCTGCTTTATGTAAAGATTAGATCAGGTTACTCTCTTGCCCAAAATTCTGCATTGGGTCAGCATGGTCCTCAGAAGAAAGGCCAAACTCCCTAGTGGGACATGAGGCAGATTCTACTACCTTTCTTATATCTGCTGATGGTCTGTCCTCTCATTCCCTAGGATCCATCAGGTTCTTTCCTGTCTGTGAACCTTTGCATTCTTTCTTAATTTCTCCTTCTATCTGAAAAGTTTACCCATTTTCTGCTCTTCCAAATCCCCTCATTTTATCTGGCTATTAGATTCAGATGAGGCATCTCCTCTTACAGAAGGCATTCAGTGACCATTCCTGATCTGGCTACATGTCCCTCCTACCCTCTCCTATCCTCTCACCACTCATTATACCTGACTGTAATTACAAGTCTCTTCAAACAGATCATGTTGGGGACAGAGGCTGCAGGGGATGCAGCTTTTCTCATTGTTGTATTGTCAACACATAGTAAGTCAGAAAATGTCTGGTGAATGAATGAAATCATCAAAAAAATATGGTCACTTGTTCTTTTTTCTAAAACCAGCTTTGATATACACTATTTTAAGCTCAACAGAATTGTAACTTTCTGTCCCCTACTGTATGGTCTTGCTTTTGTTTTCATGCTGGCTATATTTTGGTCAGGGCTTCAATGTCAGCTAGCTCTCATCTATCAATGATAAATATTTTAAAGAAGGAGGGGGTGTGAGATACCATGTACTGTACAGATCACTGTGTAACACAAAGGTCCCTGTGACCTGCTCACCTACATCAGACTGTGGCAGGGATCAGGTGGACCAGCAAACTAAGAAAAAAAATGGGTTACTGACAATCTTTTCAATAAGATTGGTGTTATGGTCTAAATGTTTGTGTCTATGATCTAAATGTTTGTGTCTCCCCAAAATTCATATGTTGAAATCTTAACACCCAAGGTGATGGTACTAGGAAGTGGGGCGTTTGGGAGTGATTAGGTCATGATGGTGGAGCCCTCATGAATGGGATTAGTGCTCTTACAAAGGACTCTCAGAGAACTCCTCAGTCCCTTCTGCCAGGTAAGGTTACAGAGAAAAGCTGGCTATCTAGGAATTGGGCTCTCACCAGACATTGAATCTGCAGGAGCCTTGATCTTGGACTACTCTGTCTCCAGAACTGTGAGAAATAAATTTCTGTTGTATGTAAGCCACCCAGTCTATGGTATTTTGTTGTAACAGTCTGGAGGGACTAAGACAAGTGGTTTCATTTTCATTTGTTTTCCGTATGTGCCACTGACAAAGACTTCATTTGAACAAAGGCCCTATAACTAGCAAAGATGGAAAACCCTTAGTCGAGTTCAATTCCTTAATACTATACATAATCTCTAGAAGTGCAAAGAGGTCTAGTAGCTGTCAGTGGCAGATCCTGGGTCAGAACCATATATGACTGAAGGCTTTTTTACATAATAATACATTGAAAAGAATAATTGGTAAATGTGCTTAGAGTTTTGGCTTATTTTATGCCTTTTGCCCCCATTTAGTAAAAATCTTGAAATCTATACTTCATAATTCATTTGATAGCAAAATTCATCTAGGATGCCATTCTGAGTCTCTTTGGTCATCCATCCTGAGTATCTTTGCTATCATGGGAAGATCCACATTTGTGGCTAAAGGCATATTCATTTCTATTTTTCACTTTGACCTTAGATACCACATGGATGCATTCTGGCTGTTACTTCCCCCTCCTGTTCCCAAATATAAGATATTAAATTCTAAAAAGTCAATAAATTAGGAACATGATCTGAGTAGCTGTCGTATCTCACTTTGTCATCATAGGGATGCAGCAACTCTCTAGGTCTTTCTCCCATTTTTCAGTCAGGGTTATTCGATACCCACAGAGTTCTTGCTGGTATATGTATTGTTCATGAACAGTCATTGGAGCAAACATGCTTCAGGTGAAATATTAGCATTTGTAAAAAAAATTCTTAAAACTACAGAACAAATAATGCTTTGGGCACTCTTTGGGAAAGTTTCTGTGGCAGATTGACAAATTCTACAATTTTGTTAGCACAGAGATGGGATTAGTTGAGTTCAGTTCATGCTTAGTAAAGCATTCACAACACCTTGCGGTGACATTCATCAACCCTCAAGTCACTCCGCCAGGGTTTCTTAAAAGACTGCTGAGCAGCAAATCACTGTGCCCATGAAATTACTGAAACAACAGATTCACAGTCTTGCAACCCTATACCCAAATTGAGTTATTAGTTGGCTGCCACCCAAAAGATCATGGAGCAAGTCACAGCTCTGGGGTCAGAGATCACCCCCTGCTCACTGGGGCTGTGGTGCTGGTCTGACAGCACCTTTTGAAGGGTGCCCTCTGTTGACTTCTCCCTTCTTAGACAACTTGGTCTTTGGACTTTTGCTTTCCAGTTGGGACTCTGTGCTCACTTGTTCCTCTTAACCTTCATGAACCTAGATTCTGATCCTGTCCCCTTGTCCAGGCCATAGGCCTCCCTTGATCTTCCTGGCCATGACTTGCCTAGAGTTGTGCTATTGGCCAGGCTTCTTCTCAACAAGGCTTCTGATTGGGCCTTGTCCAGTCCCAGTGATGTCCATACCTACGCTGATATTTATAAACATCTCACTAGAGTAAGGAAAAATGGAAGAGAAGTTGTTTTCTATATCTGGAAGAAGTTTATCTCTGCTGGCCTTGGTGAATGAATGAACGCCTGACTGTATGAGAGGGCAGCCACCTAAATATCACTGAACCAAGTAGACATGCAGTCTACAACAGGGCATCAAACGGTAAAATGGAAAAACCCAATCATGGTGTGGTTAATTTTTTAAACCCAACCTTCTTATTCTAGGATGCACACTGGGAGGAGAGGGCTTGTGAATAAATGCAGGTTCCCCCCAAACCTCATGAAATACTCTATATAGAAACTGTTTGCTCCTATAGAAGCTGGGGCAGTTTAAACATACCTGCTCATTATTTTAAGGCATTTGGCTTGATTTTGTACACAAAAAATGAACTTGGATCCCTTCCAGAGGAAGAGAATGAGAACTCACTACAATTAGTGAATTACTTGTTAAACGGGAAGTGACTTTCTTGACTAGGACTGACTTAAGATGTGGATTAGTAGGACAGAAGAAGGTCAGGAAGCAACACAAGACCAGGAGGAGAGAGTGTATAAACCCACATGCTGTGGGTATATATTTATATATTTGTTTAAATGAGTAGTTTAGCAAACTATGTTCTTTCATAAAGTGATTAATTTATTGAGTTTATGCATAAAGGGTCTGCATTCTAGGATGATGGCAGTTTATACTTAGAGCTCAACATGTAGAGCTCTGTTTTAAGCACCTTACATGGATTAACTCACAAACTCTTCACAATCACCACCTGAGTGGGGTGTTATTATTGTCCCCATTTTACAGATGTAGAACTTGGGATACTATGAGCTTAAGCAGTACGTTGTAGTTCACAGAGCTAGAAGCAAAATTTGAATCCAGGCAGGATGGCCTCAGAGCCTGCACCCTAAATCACACACCATACTGCCTTTATTATAGTTCTTAGTCTAAAGAATTTCTGACAGTTAAGTGGATGATATTAAATTGACAGTCATCTGTCTTCACTCAGCCTAGGACCCAGAAGGCCAAGCTTTAACTTTTCATGGCTGTATGGGTTCAGGATTAATTGTAAATTGAGTTCTATAAAACCTTTTTTGGAATTATTGACTATGGATGTAATTACTTAATGACAGCAAATGCTATAATTATGCCAAATGGCATAATTTGTATAAATGTGGTACATATAAGAAAACCACTAAATTGCATAATTGTAGCACCATGATGAGGTCACAAAGTTCCTTGTTAAATTAAATAAAGGCATGTATAACTATGGAGTACAGATTTAAATTTGATAAAAGGAAAGAATTATTTAGCTTTTGGCTAAGATAAAACAAATTTCATTTTAAACACTTTTAAATACCTCTTTTCAAAATCACATCATTACTAAGTGGTTTACTAAGCCCAAGTAGGTGTGGTTTTCCCATCTGATATTCTCTGGGGGCCAGATGAGCCAAATCCAAAATGAGGACATGCTTGGTGAGGGTGTTCTGCAAGCCCTGGCACCGTCAGTTCCTCATCTCCAGCTCCAGGCTTCATCTCTCTTTGAGAGAAGCCTGGAGCTCAGGCATATTATGGGGCTCAATAACACTTTATTTTCATGTCTTCAAACCATTTTCAAGACATGTTATTTAATTAAACCAGTTATTACACTTGAAAAGTATGCAAAATTATATTATCTCCATTTCTAAAATGAGAAAATCTAGCAGTTAAATATTCCCTCAGTAAAAGAAATAAGAGAAGCATAAAATTAACTCAAGAATTCCCTACTCACTGGCCACATGAGGGGCACTTTCTTCAGAGCTGATTACTGTCAGAGGAAAGAAAAAAAGGAGGTGGAAGATGTGATTCCCTGAGTATTTTTGAACTTGAGTCACTTTGTTGTAGCTCTCTGTTAGTCATGGGTTTTACACATTCCAGTCAGGGTAGTGTATTCTAACACACCATAACATGGGATCCTGGAAAACCAGTCCCAGCTCTTGGGACTTGGAAAATTACTAATTTCAATCTAATGGCAAGTAAAGATTATTTCTAATTGCAAAACCAACTTGGTTAACCAAGCCTTACAAAAAGATTACAAAGTCCATCAGCCTCCTATACTGGCATCAAAATTATAGGATGATTCATAAAGGAAGTAGGTCCAGAGAGGTTATGTGAAGGCAGAGATCGCCAGTATCTGAAGAAGATTCAGAAGCATCACTTTGAGTGATTGTCAGGTTTGGTGGGATACACACACACACACACACACACATATTTTCACACACATATATATTTAGCTCTGCATACATTAAGATGTAAATATAAATATACAAATATATTCAGAGCTAAATTTTTCTGGACTCAATCCAATTTGCAGGTCAAGACCTCTAGGCCTGTAATTTGCATTGTTTCCAAAAATTCCATGTTATAAAGACTATAGTATTTCAGACAGGGGGAAAAATGTTTCTAAAGTATTTTCAGTAAACGAATGAATAGTGTTTATGGTCATTTTGTAAGTATACTTATTAAAAAACAGGCAGCTATGCCTTTATAAGAAAGTAAGATGAGTTATTTGTATTTGTGGGAAAAATACGATACAAACAGACACAGAAGATTTGCTGTTCTGACATCACAGAATCTCAGAAGTGGAAGAGATTTTGAGGTCACCCAATTCACCAACTCTTGCTTAATGAGAGTGCAATAATAACTAGAAATAAAGAAAGAAGCATAATAATTCCAACTTACAGGCTTTGGAGTTTTCCATGGAGAAAAGAAACCTGTAATAAAGAAAACAATATTTGAACTTTGAAAATATACCCTACGGCCACTTATGAATGGCATGATATTAAAATAATTGTGAGTCACCTTAAATTAGTTAGCAGCAAACAATAATAACCACAAAAAATTCTGCCTGGCTGTATAGTTTTTTTTTTTAAGGAGTCAGATAATTAGTGAATTGAAGAACATTTCCTTATTTGCAGCTGAGGATTCTGAGGCACAGAGTAGGTGAGTAATTATGTGGCAAATGGTCAACCATTGTACAAGATCTAAAATTGGTCATCCTTAGGGATTTCTGTGGCACAGCCTTAGCTGGAGAATAAGAGAGTGAAGAGAGAAGAGAGGAGAGAGGGAGAACATAGAACTTTAAAATTTAATACCTTTGCTTAGTATTTGGAGCCAGGTGGGTACTAGACTTACATAAATTATATAAATGTCTAACTACTGTGCTGTACACCTGAAACTAATATAAAATAATGAATGTTAACTGTGAGATTAAAAAATTAAAAAAGAAGTACTTCTGCTTTATGTACCTGCTTTATGTAGTTAAAAATCGGTCAACAAGACTTTATTAGTTCTACATTTAAAAATAATGTATATAGCTATATCGTGAGTCAGATTCTATTCTAACTTTTATGGGGCTGTTCTCCCACTGAGATCTTCTTTAGAGCAGATATCTATTGTATTACTCTAACATCTTAGTGTTAGCACAATGTTTTGCATGAAGAAGTAGCTCAAAATGTTTGTTGATTGAATGAGTCATATATCATCAAAACCATGTTTTTTTTCAACGTATTGAGCCCTTTCTATTATCACAAATTGTATGGTAATTGGACTGACTCTGTGATCCAAATGACCATTAAGACAATAAAGGACACATTAATTCCCTATTCTTTTTTCCTTTATTATGATTTTATCATATGGTATTAGTTTTTAAAAAAATACTAGTAAAAACAAGCTTAAACATAATGGAGGTGGTGGTGGTGGTGAAGGCTGCTGTATATTGATCCTAGCAAGCCAAAACATAATCTAGTGCACAAAACAAAAGTACTTTCTTTCATGTCATATCTTCCCCTTGTCATCAATTTTACTCATTGCAATGTTAGGTGGCATCTGATAAAATGCCCAATAAAAAATGAAATATTGAAACTATGTCACATACATATAGTATGTTATCTCTTTTAAAAATGGGAATTGTAAAAAATGGGACTTTATGGAAGCCATAACCCATTTATAGAAAATACCTACAGAAATCTGAATGCACAATTATCTAGATGCATAAGCAATCTAATGCAGGCAAAGCATAAATACTAACTGCATCTAAATGCAGTGTTGTGAAGAAATGATGCTTCATTTTATGAAAAGAGTGAACGTCTATAATCAATCATGTTTCTCAGTTTTCCTTGGAACCTAGAGTTACATTTTATATATTTATGTTTATTTATTTATTTATTTATTTATTTATTTATTTATTTATTTATTTTCAATTTTCACTTGAGGATATGTTTTTATTGGTTTTAGAGAGAGACGAAGGGAGAGAGAGAGAAAGAAACATGGATTTGAGAGAGAAACATCAATCGTTGCCTCCTGTACATGCCCCTCCTGGGATTTGAACCCACATTGGTAATCGAACCTGAAATCTTTTGATGTATTGGATGATGCTCCAACCAACCAAGCCACCCCGCCAAAGCCAGAGTTAAACTTAAAGTTCAAGTGTAATAGCCATCTTATTTAAGGAGATTGGTAGAATTAACTCACTTTCTCACATACTCTATATGTTCTTATCTCTCTTTCCAACTAATGAAAAAAAAATTTGTTTCAAGTGTAGTTTGATTAATTATAAGGATTTATTATAAGGATTTAATCACACCCTCTTTAGAAATATCTCAGAGTAAAAATTACAGATAAATAAATACGTAATTACCTTTGATTCACTCTATACAATGACAATGAAAACAATTTGACCACTAATTATAAAGTTAAAAAAAAATTTAACTTATTGGACAATTAACCATTATTTTCTGCAAAGGATAATATTTATTTGCTGTTTGATGGAATTGCCAGCAACAAATCTTTTGAGAAACAATGTCATTTACACATTCTCACAATTCCAAAACACTCAACTATTCCCTCTAGTTTCTTTGTGTTATCACCTTACTGAATGCCCAAACGGATTTTTGAGTATTTGCTATTTTACATTTGTTAGGGACTGGGAGTTTCTTAGACTTTGATACAGATGCATTGAAAATGGTTCCTCTATTATGGAGCTCTCATCTCCACATGGGACATTATCTTAAACAATGATTATTTCTCCTACAGAACATGTGTAATCATCTGACCCATCAGCAGTTATGGTGCCAGAACTAAAACGGACTAAGAGGGACACTGGTCAAGATCAGACAAGGAGAGAGGGGTGTTTAATTTGACCACCTTTCATCATAGGCACTTTGGCTTCCCATTCCTTTAAGGCTGTTTCATTCGGTCTAACCTCAGATCATTGGCATGAACCAGGACTTCTTTACTGCTCCCATTATGGCAGTTTCTGGAATAACTCTAATGCCCAGTTGTGCCCCACAGGCTTTTTCCTGTGTCATTGACAAAAAGAAGCTGCTTGCTGAGGAACAAGTAATTTTAGGTAGTAAGAAATGGTATCAGAATAGATTTCTTTAAATATAAATAACTTATGTGATCCTTTGTGTTTCTTTGGCAAATTATCACTCATGCTATAAACATTTAAATTAAGATGAATAGAAAACATCTATTTTGGATACACTCAATTTGACCCTATTAAGCTAGAAGGTCAAGTTTTCTACATGATTAAACTTCAATTTCCTGCTTAACTTCATTGGAAGAACTACAGAAATACTGTAATAGTGTGGGTCAAAGTATTATATATTGTAAATGTGCAATAATTTTTGTAGAGATGGCTCCTCTAGGAAACTTAGTATATTCCAATTAACATTAAAATCCCCTAAACAAAATAAAAACTTTTAAATCTTTATTTCTGCAATTTTTCTTTTTCTGAAATCATTCTGGTTGGGGATAGATCCCACAAGCAAGTTAGGCTTGGATTGCTGAGGCTATTACTTTTGGGCTTCTCGCCACCCGTCTTCACAGGGAAGCAGGAAGAGGGATATAGACATATTTTTCTTAAGCCTTTTTGAGCTAACAGTCTTCCTTATAAAACAAAGTTCATAGAAAAGAGTTTTTTCTCTAAAATAACAGTAACATGCCTTTATGTTTTAGTGTATTTCTGGCCTTTGTTTCCCCTAATTCTATAGAAAGCTGTATAATTCCCTTATGGGATTAAAATTTCTTTATAATGGCCCATATTTTCCACACTGATCATTTATTGGTGTGTATACAAATGCAAAAATATTAATCCTGATTCTTAAGACCACAAAAGTTGAGGACCTTGAGGTACATTTATAAGCTAACTAAAACATGAGTAGAAACATTAAAGGAAAAAAGTAAAATGGAAATATTTAGATGTAGCTAATAAGAAAATTTAGATGCACTTAATAAAAAAAATCACAAAACTGAATTAAGTTTCTAAAATCTGTCTTCTTTAGAACTGGAAATAAAACTTAAATATGTTTTTAATTCTGTACCTAAAAGCACAGTGAGATGGATAGAGAAACAGAAGCACAATGCAAATAGACAAGAAGTTCTGGCATTTAAAAATGGAGGCAAAGACAATTAAAACAACTTTTAATAAACTATTGGTATATGGTTGCACAAGAAATTATAACATGCCCAGCTAAATTTTAATTTCAGATAATTAATGAAAAATGTCTTCTATACTGTACAAGACATATTGCATAGGACATACACTAAAAATTATTTGCTATTTGTCTGAAATTAATTTAACTGGAAATTCTGTATTTTTATTTGCTAAATATGACCACCCTATAAAGGTAACATTTATATGTCCTGGCAACCATTTAAAAATAAAAACACAACAGTAACATCTATTATGGGTAATATCCATTCAACTCAGTAAAAAACCCAGAAAATATTTCATATTTCCTTTTCTTACACTCCCTCCAATATTTGATTGACAGGACTCTTGCTACAGAGAAACAGAACATTTCCTCTGCTACACTCATCACTGGGATCAATTTGGAGTAACACTGGGCAATTTTTTGAAATTCCTAAGAATTTCCCCAAACAGAACTAAATCTTTCAACACGCCTCCACACTCCATTTGATATGTTGGGCTCCCATTTGCAGGATGTAAAATGGTTTCTTCTTCAACTGACGTATTTGTTGTGCTACAACCAATGACTCTGGTTTTGAAGATTAACATTATAGTTTCAAGTATTTTATAGGGGATTCTACAATTACTAAAAATGGTAGAGATGCAGGGGGGAACACTTTCTATTTCTCCTTTTCTTTAAGTAACGGAAAAAGAATAGGATCACTTTGAAAGAAAGACTTGTTGCACTGAAGATGTCCACACCCTTGATTATCAAAAGCTGTGTTCTGTTTTGCTTAAAAAAGAAGGAAGACAAAATGATGTGAATGTACTCAAAGTCACTGAGCTGTACATTTAAATATAATTGATATGGCAAATTTTATGTTATGTATATTTCACTAGGGTTAAAAAGCAAAGCAGTAAAGACGATGACAAAGAACAAAGGGAGAACAGGAGTGTGTGCATATCGTATGAGTGGGAGAGAATAAGAGGGAGTGAGAAAGAGAATGCTTTTCACAGTCCCGGGGAACCTCACTGGAGGACAGGGCACGCCCCTGAGCAGCCACGAAGACCCTTCCACCTCTTCAGTTATTCTTTCTCATAAAAGATTGCAAGCAAAAAGGAAACCTGTGCTCCTGCTAGTTCTGAAAGTATCTCAGGGACTGTGAGAAACTCCTCCAATAGAGGGAATCTTTTCTTTAAAGTTTCCCAAAGGGGAAAAAAAGCCCCAATATTTTCAGAATATCCAGTTGGGGCTAATTAGTGGGAAAAATACCACTAACATGGTTAATCTTTAAGGAT